CCGGTCTCTGTAGACTACTATACTGGTTCTTTGCAGATAGCAGCTCGATGGCGATGATATTGCTCTGCTGTGAGCTTTACTGAAAGGCCCGTAATCTCAAGACAGAGTTTCCAAGATGGCCCTGCGAAACTAGGGGATTTCTCGAGGTGCCTTCTGCTGGCGCTTCAGCTTCGCCAGCTCCTTCTCCACGTCAGCGGCGATGGAGTCGTCGAGATCACGCGCCTTCAGGAGGTCCTGGCAGAGCTCTGAATATGCACCGTGCCCTTCTGGATACCCTTTTCAATCCCTGCGCCTAAGTGCAAAGACGTTGAATATTGCAAGCTGCCCATATCTATGACATGGCCGATGTGTGAGCATTCCGTGTACTATGTATCGTCGACACATTGTTTAGGCTTGCAGTTGAATTCCATTTTCTGAATAGTGGGGCATCATCCATGTCAGCCAGTACCAAGCAGGAGCGCAGGCGTTCCTTTGTCTCAACTTGGTCGTCTCATTCAGGACTAGCACCGATGGTTGAGTCCATGTGAGGAGCGGTTGTCCCTGGTGCAGACTTCTTCCACTGCAGCAGAAGCTACAGGCGGACACTCGTAATACTTGTTTCAGATCTTGTCCGTTAGCGTGTAATCCTACACCTTTCCTATGGTTGATTCGTTGGTTTCTGTGCATCGGGGTTGCTACTGTGGATGTGCGGGGGCACATGCGTAGCTGCTGGCTGCTGCTTGCCTTCGATCCATCGACATCACCAGGGGTAAACGTTCTTCGCTCCAAACTGAGTAGAGAGAGGTCCTTCTTGGCCTCTTCCAGGTTGCCCAGCTGCACCTGGCACCTCAGAACTCGAGGCTGGATGAGCTTGGTATAGCTGTTTGCTGGACCTCGTGTCATACCGTATATACAGTATACCGTATACCCGTTTCTGGTCAAGAACCACCGTGCAGAGGCCCACGCTGACCTCTTCGAAACAGCGCCTTCACCTGAGTGCAGTCACTATCTCCGCCGCTCTCTTCGATTCATCTGCGGCAGCGCAGTTGCCAATGCTAGTCTGCTAGTCTGAGGAGAGGAACACAGGAACTGTCGATGTCAAAAATGACTTCGGAGCATTTTCGCTCGGCTTCCTCCCAACGACTCCTGGCCAAGCCAGGGATTGGGGCCAGAGTCGACACACCTCATACCCATTTAACCCGCCACGTTCCGTCTCCTCTTTATGAGAACCAGCGCCCAGTTGAGAAGGATGGGCTTCTGGCCTCGGATGCGCAACAAGATGTCACAACGCGCCAAGCGCTTCTCATGCACTTCTAGGTATCCGGCACTCGCGGATGCGCTTGTTGTTGGCCACAGCTTTCTCATCCTTCTGGCCACCTGCAGATGCAGAATTCCAGACTTTCATTAGCCACACCTAACCAACATATTATACCGGGTCGATCGGTGCATCTGTATACAAAGTCTCCAACTGCCCCAGGGCTCTGCAGCTGATCCAAGCTTGTAACTGCAAGCACGCCTCCCATGGCGCCCATTCCACCCATACCTCCCATGCCAGCCATTCCACCCATGTCTTCTGCTTCGATGACATCCATGAGAGAGGATCCCCGCTCGTAGTAGTCAGCTGCTCGCTGCAGCCGTCCTCGTGATCAACACCCTGAGGCAAGCCATCCCTCTTGATGGTCCGAAGCATCTCATGTGTATGCACAGCAACTCCTCTCTTTAGCATTGCGTTGCCACGCTCACCTTAGACTCATATCTTGGACACTCTGACCACTGCTTACGTGCACCAGAAATGTGGTTATTGCTGGCTGGAAACGCAACTGGCTTGCCAAGTTGATCCGTTCATCCACGGACATGCGGAACCTTATGTCTCTCAATGAAGTCACACCGGAAAACAACACCTTTTGACTACTTTTTGTTCAAGTCCTTAGAAACGAAAGGATCTAAACCTGGACGTTAGGCTCCAGTGAGAGGCTTGTCGTGCTGGCTGCCACGAAAGGTCGCTATCTCAAACCTCCACCGACCTCAGATCTCCACAGGCGAAACTAAAATGCAGATCTCTTTTCGGGCTTGCACAAATGACATTTTGTAGAGGCCCTGACAGGGTCTGAACAATGAAGCCTCGCTTGCTGAGCTCAAGTTGCTCAAGCCATGGGGTGCCTCTTTTTTGGAGCAATTTTCCGCTTAGTCATTAGTCATTAGCAAGAACCTGTGAGCCACCCCCAAGAAGAGAAACCTGACAAAGTGGCAGCAGCCGGACACCCAAAATTGCGGACGGAAGCCGCAGGACACCAACAACCCGCCTCTCCCAACAAGTGTTGGCACGTGGGGGCAGTGACACTCACAGATTCAGCATGTGAGGACCATGGAGCACAGGTGCAGACACCCGAAGCGACGTGGTTGCGCTTAGCTTGAGGAAATCTCATCGCATCTTTCGCTGCTCATTTGGGTAAGGATTCAATGTTTGGAGCCAGAGCAGCAACCATCCTCCATGCACCTGTCACTCCGACCAGAACTAGTACGATAATAGTACGACTATCTGATACTCGCACCTGCAGGCCGGGGGGCGCTCTGGGCTCTTTGCCTCGATGATGCCGTCTGCCTCCTCCTCACAAGCCGGGCTGTGGGGGTGGGAGGACGGGCACTCCGGCGAAAGCACAAATTTGGGATGAAGGCTCCAAACACAACTACAGAAGAAACCCCCGAAACATGTGCAAAGGATGGTTTTTCATGAATGTAAACTTGAGAAGCATGAAAGCAAGGCAAAAAGCATGTTTCCTGAATGGGAAGCTTGCCTGCGCGATTGTTCATACTCACAAGCAAAACAAGAGACCGGTAATTCGAAAAACCCCATACGCGCCAGAAGGTAAAACCTCAAGAGCAGCCACATGGCTAATTGACAGCTTCAGACATACCCCTTGATCTCCAGTAGCATCAGGTAGCAGTGGCAACTAAAAGGAATCATCCATTGCGGGGTCATGCATCCGCGTCCTCATCAGCAAGGGCGTGCTCACCAACGCCTACCTCAAAATCCAGAAATTCTGGTCCCCAACTTTCCACTCTTGCCATGACGCAGAGACTGCTAATGGCACAGGTTGATGCAAGCTGGTGACGTTAATTTGATGATCCTGATGCTTTAGGGGGGCAGTGACGAGCGTTTGATCAGTGTTGCATTGTGGGCTTGCGCAATTATTGGTTTTCTGGTGAAGCGGTAACGTCAGATCTAGCATGCCAACTGGCTGACATGAGCTCTGCCACCCCTGCTGTCGAGGAGCCACGTCGACCACGTCGCCCACCTGAACTCCTTGGCATCCGTTCGCCAAAGGCTTCTGAGCCCACCATTCGCATCACCATGAAAACTTGAGCATCTCAACACTGGCATACTGGCACTAGTCTGTAGATAGGAGTCTGCGGGCTGTGACCTCCAATGCCCAGGGAAGAGCGGAGCTGCCTATCTCGGCCTTTGCGCTATTAACGCACTTTCCTATTCAAAGGCACAAGCATCATTCATGGTAGCAATTCACAAAACCTTAATGGTGCATGCGATGAGAAGAATGGATCTCAATCATGCTGAAACTTGGCACACGGCTTCGATCAAGGGCTGCCCTTCTGCCGTCCGATAGGCTATGACATAGCCGTCTCCTGCGCTGTCCAAAACATGCAGCCAGAAACCAAGCATTGATCCCACAATGGCCCCGGCTGTGTAAGAACTTAAGCGGAGCACCAACACATCCCACAATAAAGGCTGAAAGGGTACACAGCCTGTTGTACAGACAAACCAAGCCACATGAGAAATGGGAATCGCTTGAACAAACAAGTTTCGCAATTACAATTGCAGACGGCTCTCAACATCTCTCAACTATGGACACCTCTCGAAGCACCTGCGGCTGCCGAGACAGAACCACAAGGCCTATCCTGATGGAAGTGAATTGCAGTAAGATGAACGCTATGACGTGAATTCGGGCACGCGCCTATTCGGGCGCCACGTGCATCTGCCCTGACGAGAGAAAAGGTTCGGCAAGGCGCAGAAGCGGTCAGCATCAACCCTACTGCATCATCGGATCGAACAGCCAGTGAAGCCAAGGCAGCTTCGCATTGCAAACTCCAAAGGAATTCCTATCAGGAGCTATCATAAGTGCCGTCCACGGGAGAGCCTTTTTACAAAAACATTCTTCACGGCGCCATCGCAGAGGACCACCTCACTGTTGGTCTCCCCAGGTGTTGACCTGCCATGTCGGATGAAAGATGCATAGGAACCTGCAATCATTTCATCAGAGCCAACTGATGAAAAAAGGATAAAAAAGAGGCCTCTACAGGCCCTTTACTTCGAAGACCCGCCTGGGCTCCTGAGCCTCCTTGGGCTCAGAGTCGTCCACATTTTCAGGCTCCAAGGCAGCTGCCTCCTACATCATGTGTACGGGGCTGGGGAACTCTGGTGCTTGTGCTTGGAGCACCTCAAACACATCGGCGTCGGACTCCAAGAGCCGCTGAAGGTCGGCACCAGAAAGCATGGCAGCACGGACCCATTCACAAAGGAAGTCTGAACATACAAGCATCTTCTGACTTACAAGTGGCCGGAAGCTCTTCGAAAAAGTTCTGGAGGGTGACGGAGTTGCATCAAGTAGTAGCCACAGGCACATGATGGCAAACATCTCCACGTAACAGGCTTAGGGATGTCCAACCCTCGATTTTCTTGGTAGGGAGTTCCTGCTCGCCGTAGAGGTGCAGCTTGTCGGTCAAGCCACTAGACTTTTGGGCTGCTGCACTAAGCTCATCTAGGATGCTACTGACAGCTTCAGAGAAGTGAGGAACACAATGGCAAATCACAAGCACAATCTCAACAGTTCGTCTGCCCATCTCATCTTCTTGCTAGCAGAAAATAACTTGGAAACTCCTCTCGAAAACCTGCTTTTCTCGAACGCTGCGTCGTCCGCTCGCAAATCCCAATTGTCTACCATGCAGCTGTTTAACGTACTAGACTTCGTACTAGTGACATTCCATACCTTGTGAACGGATCCAGCCTGGCGTCGCCTTCTTTTCAAAGGGACGGAATATGAGACTGAGCCTTGCCAGCCAAGAGCATTCCATGATGCGCAACATAGATCAGCTGTTGGAGAGGCCTGGCCTTGAGCTTGGCCCACATTCAGCTGCACATCTTGCGGGCCTGGCAACCACAACGACTCAAAACGGCCAGCCGAGGTGGTATCCTTGCATGTTACCGTCTTCCCTGTGAGAATTGCCTGCAGAGTGTGGACCAGGAGTTATAGCTTCCTGAGATGGGATTAAGAGACGAAAGAGACAGGCTTGCTTGCCACAGGTGCATCGAGGCCCTGACTGCTGCCAGCAGGCAAGCTACACCGCAAGCAAGAACATGCAGGCCTGCGAGGAGAGGAACGCAGGCCAAGCAAATGCTGAAGGCTCGGTTCTGGCTTAAATTTCGCCATGCAACGAGTGCTCGGATAAGTTTGAAAGCAGTGTCTCAACTCCTTGCAGATATGTGCATGGAGGCCTTGTCGGGATGCAGCAAGGCCCATCTACCTCAAGTTCAACTGATCCCACAAATGTTGGAGAGCACTTCGAATAAAATTTTGGGACTCTGAAATCTGGGGGCATGACGTTGAATGGGCGAGGATGCCCGCGGATGGCAGGTCGCGGGAGTGGAATCTCACCGCCGCCCCGCTGTGATCCATAATGAAATCGGGAGCCCCTGTCGCAACTATTGGCACAAATGAGTTGCCCAGGAAGTGATCAAGCTCTGGGCGATATGTGTCTGAAGGCATCAGAATAAGCCGCGGCCTCAAGAAGGTTTATTGCACATGACGACAGAAGGGCCCTTTGCAACAGCCAACCCAAACTATCCCAGACATTCTCTGTGCTACCATGAGACGGCATGGCCCCTTGGCCCCGTGTCCAACTGTCATAATAATGGGTGTGCTAGCCACAGTAGCAGCTAGGTGTAGGATCAACCACGAAAGTCACGAAACAATACTCGCCATGCACAAAACGAATCACAGGGATCCAAACAACAGCACTAGAGTACAGGAATGCGTCTCAGGGCACAAAGAGCCCTACAGTATAAGTAAGTAACGCTAAACTGCCCTCTTCCTGATCGCATGGCTGGAGGAGGCACAAGAATAAACGCTTACAGCTCTGCAGCTGCAAGTCTTTGCACGCTGAACAGGAAACAAACGTCAGGTCCTAGTCCGCAACGCTTTCCTTGCCTTACAGGTTGTGCATTTGGGGTACATATGCCATTTTGGCTGGATAGTTTGCGATTGTCGGCAGGGGAAGGGTCGCGAGCGCGCCCCACCGAAAGGGGAGGCACCGTAAATTTCTAATTGACTGCAGCTGCGCAAACGAATTCCACACCTTGCCTGGAAAGGCAGCAAGGTCTCTCAGTCAGCAGTTCCAACTGAGCTTGGAATTTGACAAGTTGCTTGCACTGATTGCGCTCAAGCCAAGCGAAGACAATGAGCGGACTCGGAGTTCGCTATACAGATGAGGATTCAATCCTGCATTGCAAGGGGCCCCATTTTGCGGACACACCTCTGCTGGTGATACCATCCGCGTACGGTCCCAATTTCATTAAACACGGTTTAGATCTCGAAGAGGTGCCTTGCAGCCCAGTTGGACACCAACCATTAAACTCAGATCTCAAACATCGTTCCCTGAGTGCCAGGCACGCTGGTCACCAGAACATGTCTTGGTCGGACTGCTCCGCACCTAGGGGGCAAGCCGCGCGAGCCGTCAGAGAGAAGCATGCAGCCCTATGCGTGAAAGAGCCTTCCGGTGTACTAGCTAGCCAAGCGCATGCTCAGGACTTTGTCCACACCTACAGCTGCCCCTCCATTAGTGTAAAATGCAAGCAGCCGGCCTTCATCTCCAGCGGCTTCTCCTGGGAATCTACTACTGGTGGGGTTTGGACGTCAAAGACGTCACATGCTCTGCTGCTTGTGGTATCTACACAAAACTCATTGCATGTGAGTAGGCTCAGGCTGACATTCTTGATCCCTGTAGGTTCCCCCGAAATCCCCTGCATGTTCCCCTGTAGATCCCCGCAAGCTAACTTTAGTCTGTAGCTCAGAATATAGTAGATTTATGAAAGCAAAATTACTGTCATGTAAAGGTTGGCTCACGGAAGAGCCTCTAACTGCCAAACCACTGCCCTTGACCAGACACATGATTCCACGAATCGACTTTCAACCTTGCTTCAAAGAAGCCTGCAAAATTGCGCTGAGAGCAGGCGAACATGAAGAACCGCAATGCTTGCGGTACTTAGGCCCTTGCAAACCAGCCAACCCTGAATGTGATGCTGAGAGGGCAGCGAGGTTGCTGCCACACTCCGCGTTCTCCCCGGACGTCTTGAAGCGCTCCTGCCATACAGACAGCCCATCAACCACGATCGGAAATGTGGACTCACCCGCTGCAGCTGAAGCTGAACGAATCTTGGACGAGCCAGCCTCTGCCTCCTCGTCTGTTGCGGTTAATGGATTGCCCACAACCGCCAGAAGCTCACAAATGGCCTGCAGCTAAAGTCAGATGCTTCTGCGGCTCAAAAACGCAAAAACAAGCAATGGCATGCGCACGAACAGCATTTTCCAAACATTTCAGGACGCCCGGCCTTGTCCGCCTCCATGGCATTGATGGCCTTCTGCTTTGCCTGGCACAGCAAGCCATGCAAGCCCTAAACCCTGAAAAGCAAGAACTGTTTTCACCACACAGCTCAAACTGATCCAACCTGCTGGCTACGCGCTTGCCGAGCCCGTGCCACCATCTGACCATGAGGCAGGTCTCTAACGCATGAACATGCATGAACGACTTGAACGACTCAAAAAACATTGAGGCCATGGCTGGGCCAGCCTCGTCACTGCTCAGGTTGGCATCCTACCATTTGATTCATTTCATGGCAGAAGCTTCACCGCTTCCTACAAGGGAAAGTCTGTCCTTTTGAGTTTCTTCATCAGGCACGTCTTCATACACCGCGTCAATGCCTTAGAACCCAGGAGTGCTACATGACGTGGCCGCAACATCATCAGGCTGCTTGCTCCCAAGTTGCTCTTCACAGCTGTGACGACTGCCTGCCAGCATGGAAGGACCGGAAGCGATGTCCAGCTGAAACCCTCTGCCATTCTTTGCAACAAAGCCTCGCGGCAGAGCGCCAGCTTCTGCAGAAGCACCCGAAGCTCTTCGTCGCCCTGCTCCAGCTCCTGCATTCCCCAGACCGCATTGTCTCTACTTCCCAGATTCTGCGAAAACTCGTGACGTGTTATCTCCTGCAACGATTTTGCACTGACCCTTTGTAGGCCCGGCCTGCTTTTGCAGGCTAATCTTTTCCTGATCCGCAGCCAGCCTTGCATGGATGGCCCGCTTCGCACAGGACCCTAAACCCACAAAGTCAGGAGGAACCTCCCAGCTTCAATCCTAAGCCTACCCTCCAGACTCGTACCACCAAAACTTGAAAGACTTACCAGTCCTACCTGAGCACCAAGGTCGGGGCTCTTTGGCGGTCAAGTCCCGGGCTTTGTTCAGACTGTCAATCTCTTGCCTGGCAGAGACCCAACAATTATTGCACTTGGGAACTCGCCATGAGGTGCCACGTACACCGAGTAAAGGCCTCTTCTTGAGCTCACGCTCACGGAGCTGTATGTTGGCTTCCCGCAAACCTGAGCGCAAAACTCCAAACTCACAGGTCATTTTCCTTGTGATTGAAGGTTCACTGGCGAGATCCTGGTATTGCCAATGTCCAAGTCTGGACATGTAGCGCTGCCCAAAAACAAGTGCCGCATGAATTCAGGCATATCCCAGGCCCTTCTTAATTCAAGCTGCTTTGCTGGCTTGTCTTGGTCTGACGCCCCTCCGAGGACATTGCGTACGTGCTCCTCTCGCAGAGCTAGAAGTGCTGCCCGCGCGCTGGCAGCAGATGGTTGGTCCTTGATGCCCACACTATGGGGGTTCTGAGGACAAAGTCCTGCGAGTCCCTGAAGCCTTGCGAACACTAAGATCAGCTGCATGGCTTGCACAAGGAAAATCCATATGAAGATTCCCAACACATAGGAAGGCATTCCCGAGACTGTGGTGAGGAAGTGCTTCGAGAACATGCTGAAATGATTCCAAGATGTTCCAAGTAGGCCAGGCGGCATTGCAGGAACTCCCCACTGAAACAAGTACCGTTTATTCCACGCGTTGATTGCATCCACGCAGATGTTCCCCAGTGGGCAAGCTGAGGTGCACACAAATTTGTCTGCCTGGCAAATGTGCAACGCTCGCCCCCCAAACACCCTAGTCCTTGTTGGTCTGTTGATGTCTGTTGTTTAAGCCAGCATGCCAGCATCATTGAGGCCGGAGCTGCAAGAGCCACATGAACCACACTGCCACCACTTACCAGACTCAGGCCTGTGGCGAAGAGCTGTTGCTACTGCTGAGCGGAGAGCCTTGCCGGTCAGACTCGGACAGTCAAAATGCGACGGAAACTCTTCACTCCCTTTGTGCAGGTGCCTCGGGACGAGGAAGGGGGAGGCGTCAGCAGCGTTGGCTCGTCCTGCTGATTGCTCTATCCCAGTGTACGAAATCACAAGCCCTCTCAACCCTCTTCGTTGCAGATTGCTCTACCCCAAAGGTCGGGGCAGTCCAGTATGAACGTTCAGCCTTCTCGCATATGTTTTTAAAGGGAAAGTTCTAGAACACAATAACGTCCAAGATTCAAGCATTGCAACGTCCTCGGTTGGTGCCTTGGAAACTCAAATGCAGAGCTAAGCGCTAGGACGGGCGCAGCAATTAAGACAATGTTCTCACACCGCCTGACGTCCTAACTTCGAGTCCACTGGGAGTCGGGCGGGTGCGAGCTCGGAAGCCTTGACGAAACCGCGAGGCACCACTGGCAGCCAGCCTCCGAACGTTCAGATGAAGAGCGGAGAGCTGGAAATGTGTCAAATCTTAAGGCCCAAACCCCAGCCAGCCCGCAGCAAGAAGTCTTGTTGCAAGGAGGTACTCCATAAACGTTGTTTCCCAAACATGTTGCCCAACATTCAGTGAAACCACTAGACATCCGTTGTAGAGCAAAGGACACATGCAGCCCTGCCCCGGGTCAAGGAAAGAACGAGATGAACTATATGAAGTTCAACACCCCCCCAAGTTCTGAGCAAGACGAAGACAAAGTTGTTGAACTCTTGAGACTTCACTTGTTTGATACTCAAAATCAATCTATTGACAGACTCATCCTGTACATCCCAGGTCCTAGTTGGCTCGGCCTTCCACCGGATCGTCAGTCCAAGGCGCCTCGTGGACCTCGGCACGGTTTGGGCAATGTGGACTATGCGGGCGACGCAAGAAGCCAAAATCCTGCTGTAGCCTCTCGATCTCAATCTTTCAAGCCCCCAGGCAACCCCATTTCCAAAAGAGGGCAGGACCTTCAAGATGGCCAACTGGGAAACCATTGTGAAAAAACTATTTGCTATCCTGCCGCTTCTATTGCTGCAGTACAGGCGGGAATCATGGCTTTGTCAAACACTCTTGGCACACGTCACGCCTCGGGCAAAGGCGTGCCATCCAATCGGGAACATGTCAATCCTGCCAAATTTGAGTACAATCGGGCCTTTGCCAGACTACATCCAAGAGTGTCCAAGAACCTAGGTCTTCTGTGCCTGCCGAAAAAAACCAACGTGACTTCAAGGGGCTGGAGTTGCCCTTTGCCCACCCGCCCAACTGGAAGGGCGCCTGTAGCCCATCTCGCTGGGCGCTGTTCGCCAGGCAGCCATGCGTGTGGTCACCTCAACTGAATCTCAGGATGACTTGCAAACAATTGCTATTCGCTTACCTGGCTTAAGAATACAACTCTAAGCCTCGCACCCACTGCCCCAGCCCGGTTCCGCTCTTGGAGAGCTGTGTAACCTACAAGCTCTGCTGGGATATACATTCACTGGAAAACGAGCAACTAGTGCAACTTTCCGGGAAGAATAGCTCGATCCCGACCTCCTTCTTCCGATAGTTCACAGGCCGCGGATCCTTGGCTGTCATGATCATGAAAACATTTCGCTATTCCAAAGCGGCAAACTGCAAGGCAAACCCTAGCAGACGGGCACCGCGGAGATGCAAATCTGCCTGAATCGATGCGCGAAAATGCTATGAACCTTCCAGAGCTCTTGCCAGAGGACGCTGAGGAGATGGTCGTTGCAGTTTAGAACTGCAATTGATCCTGTCAAATGTTTCGCCTGCGCACACAGTGTGCTTTGGGTCATCTGTGCCATGACCGAGGAATGACTGACGGGTACAATTGGGCTCCGCCCCAGGCATCCCTTGAACGTGCATGTTATCCCTAAACATAACTGGCTTCAACATTCACCCAAATTACGAATTGTCGGCATGGAAAAATTCTGAGTACACGGCCAATGCACTTGCAGGGGCGCTGAGGCGCCGTGACCTGCCAATTTCATGCCTCAGGGCTGTTGGGCAAAAACAAAACCCAACTGCCTTTGGAGACTTTTGGTACCGTCTTGGTGCTTGTGCATGGTTGACGTGGCATCAAACAATTGGATTTGCACTTGCAGGCTTAAGCCTTAAGCACAAATTGGAGCGCGCTTCGGAATAGGCTTCTTGATGGGTGAACATCTAAACCCAGGACCATGCGGAATCGCGCAGCTGTCCACTGTCGCGTTAAAAAAACTGGTCAGAAGAGTGTCCGTTGCCGCAAGAATAAGGTCGCCACTTGTCCTGGCGGGGAGATGTCATGCCAACGCCAAGAGCCGCCTCAGCTAAATTGACATGCTTCTCATCCACATAGAATGTGTCGGAGCACGACAACATGGCAACGTTATCACATTTCAACAATGCATTCCCAAGCTAAGGTCGTTACCCTCGATCGCTGGCTCTCCATTGGTGTTTTTGTGGCCTGTCACGGGATGCGCAACGCGACATTTTAGGATGTTTCAATTATTTGCGGATCTGGCTGCAGCCCGCAGAATCTACGATCCGCTCCCCGAACGGAATTCCAGGCCCGCACTAGCTTGAATGGGTACAACGTGAGATTCCAAGGGTGTATGAAGGGCAAGCCTGAATGGATATCTGCTTTTTTCGACAGCCTCCATCAAGAAAACAACCCCAAACTAAACTAAACTCCAATGGGACATCATGGCTCGAATGCTGGGGAACATCACCAACATTGTTCATTGTTGCTGTAGAATTTGCAAGGCAAAAACATCTGTAAACAATGCCCTATGGAACTCCAATTGCTCACTCAAAGTTTTCGACAAGCAAATGCCGAGGTTTGCATGTTGATCAGTCAACGTGCCTTGGATGGATGTGCGACCCCGGCCCTGCCCTTACGCGAGCCCTCGTTGCTGCAGCAAAAACGGTGACAAATTTTACGTTGGCATGACTTGTTGATGATGGCTTTATGTTTGTTCATTATCTGCAGTCCATTCGGCGATTCAGTCTTGAAAGCTGCAACTAAACTATTTGACATTTCGAAACCGTCAAAACGCCATCAATTTCGCGCAGGGAACCGGGCTCAGTTCAACACCTTCAAATGCGGTGGGCCTTTGCAACATTCCGAGATTGCCAACGACCCATACATTTGCATAACACCTAGTTTACAATGTAAACTTTACATCATGAAAAATTTTGTTAACCTGCCAAACCGAATTTGGGCTCTCGAACCAACAATCGAAGCGTCCTTTACGGATCAGGCAAGTCGTTCTTCATCATTTCCATGTTACGCGCCAAAATGTTTGCACATGTCAAATCCTTTAGACTATGTTTTTGCCATCAAGTGGAACTGGAATGACAAGCTCTTGTCTCTGTCACATCCGTGCTGTGATTGCGTCCATCCCCCCAACAAAATGCAGACGTACACCACATGCATCCGTTGCCACGAAAACTTCAGAAGGGGATATTCCAACACCTCTATCCACGAGCACACCTGGCATCAGATTGAATAATGCATGAGAAGATTTCCTTGAACAGTATGCAATCAAAGCTGTGCAGTAACAAGAACGCAGTGAAGGCTGAATGTTTCGACATTGTGCCACGCAAACTTCTTGACCAACCGCATCTGCAGCACGCCATGGAAAGCATTATCAAATTCGCAATTTGTGGAAAAGAAACGACCTACCTGCGTCGATTATTCGCAACACTATATACATTTTCAGGCTGGGAAGGGTGGTGCGTCTGCACATCATGCTGCTTGACTCACCCCAGCAGAAGCGCCCCAAGTGTCTGCCACCAGAAAAACAGCCAGTGCTGTGGAAGCATCCTCCGAAACTTAAATGGCCATTATATGAGGAGTCGAGAACACTGGTGGCAGACGGTGGGTGCAAAACATTTTTCTCATGCTTTGCGAAACTCTGAACCATGGGTGGCTGTGGATGCGCAACAGAAAAACAATTCTACACCAACACCACAAACTAGTATGGTATCAGATCGAATAATGGCAAAAAAACATTATGCAATCAAATCTGTGCCGTAAGAAGAAAAGTAGACTTGTGGATCAACCGCCTTTGCAACACGCCACAAAAATCGTTAACTTCCCCCCATGAGAAATTGCCATGACAAAACACTTGCTGACGAGCACACATGTTTTCCCAATGTTAAAGAAAATTCGGCTGAGAAAGATGACTTGATTGGTGCACAGAAGAACCCTGCGAGACCTGGCCACAGTACAAAGAAAGCAGAAACCCCAAAAGCGCCAAGGACCAATTCAAATGAGGCACGCTACATGACTCTTTCCAGCGGCAGACGAAAGCCCGGGGATTCAACTTTTCGAGGCCAGGACTGTCAACCCTACCTGAGGAAGGATTTCTGTGGTGCCCAAGACAGGTCATGTGTTTCAGGCCAATGGAATCGCGACACGATTTGCCAAACGCCATGGGAAGTGCCATGTCTGCTTCCTGCCCGGACCAACGTGACAGGAAATCGGAACCGGGGGCCTGAAATGCGAGTGGGTATTATCCAAAAACACACCGAATTGCCAAGACAGCAAGCTGAGCTCTTGCGCAAAAAGCGGGAATGGCATGAACGCACAAAAAATTGGAGCATGCGCCCGTGTTGTTGTTGTTCCACGTCGGGATCGTGATTGAAATGCGCCCGACAACACCACTAAGACGTTTTGCGCAAATGCTTTCCAACGAGCGATGGCGTGTTGGGCCAACGTGAAGGCTGGCAACGAACGCCTTGAACTTGCAGAAATCCAAAAGTCTCACAGAACCACACGTTGGACCCGACTCATCCACAAGCTCACAGGCTTTGGGGATCCATCGCGGCGGTGGGCATAACAGCCTAGGCGCTGGCAGCAAGCTGCACCAGCGCAACCAGAAGTCTGCGCAACGCACAAAACAGAGGAAATGCGTTTTTCTTTGCGCAAAAGGAACCATAAGCAGACCAAGGACGATCGGAAAGGGTGTTCGGGCAGGAAGCTCAATAGTTTCACAATGATTTCGTTATGTTGAGAAGGGTGCGCATACAATGAAACGATGGTTACCGCAGCTCCTCGGTACTGCAAAATACATGCAATACAGTAGCCTGGTACTACCTCCTCAACCGTGAGCGTGGCTATGCCAGATGCGTAAATCACTGCGACTCCACCACTAGAACCTCCTTGTCCCGTAGGGACAGCGGGGGAGGCTGCTATTTGCAAGGATGGTTGTTTCAGCCTAGCAGAAGTTGGCCCCTGTGGCGCCCCACTTCGTCTCTTGTAAGCAGACAAGGCCCGAAAATACAAGGGATGGGATCGAACGGAATTTCTTATCCAACAACTCCTTGCCCAAGACTGAATTAAAGTTCACGGTATAGAACACGTTCTGAGAGGGCCGATTGCGCTGTTTTTCTTGAAAATGTGGAATTGACATGTGCACCAAGCACAGCATCGCTAGGTGGACATTCTCATACTTGGGCTCGTCAAACAATAAGTCGTGAAAAGTAATTGTGTTAAGTCTGATTTCTCTACTCCACAATCTCACTTTCCGCACATCAACAAAACCACTCCAATCGTAAATGGCGTGGATCGCCTTGTAAATCTCCCTCTCTTTCCAGTATTGCGCAGTTCATTGTTCAGCTTCTCCAATAAACGCTCACTGGTATTCTTATCAACAAAAGAATTAGGATCACTTTTCATGGGCACCAAATGTAAAAGTGGAAAAGCGAGGAATGCCAGGAGCGAATCCGTAATAGGAGAAAACCGGGTGAACTACATTATTGAGGGTCGTGACAATAAGGCGCACACCGGGGATTTTTGGCTCAGCGAAGGAAAGATCATCAACACCGTCCTGGATAATAAGCTGTGTTTTAGGGGTAGAGGATTCGTTAGGAAGGTGATAGATAAGAAACGCAACACCTGGACCATAAATTGGTCGTTTATTGGTTCAACCATGTTCCTTACGCGTGTCTACAAACCACAAGCACAGATGGACAGCTAGCACGCTCTTTTGGCACGAGATGCTTGGGAAATGTACGAGTCTCTCTGGAGGGGAGTATGTAGCCCCCCCGGCGAAACTGTGTAAACCTGAGATGCGTTGCGTTGCAATGCGCGCTGATAGCTTGCAGTGTTATTGATAATTGCCTTTGAATATCCAGACGCCTACCGGAGCATGTATGTCATGCACAAACATGTGGAGCTCAACATGTGGCCCAAAACACTTTAATCAAATCAGGTTTCCTTCATGGCATCCAATGCCAAGGCGTATGGAGTAACATCACCACCACACCCACCAGTAGGGAGGTGCATACTTTTGCACCCCGCCAAAGTTTGTGTTTACCCATCAGTCTAACTGTGCGCACACTTTCCGAAAGTTGCAAACTGGTGGAAAACAACATGACAATACAGGCTCACATGTGACTCTACAAGCTCCAACACGCAGCGCACTCAACGCTCAATCAAGTAGATTTCACTCGTGTCAAAGTTCCGTACAACGACTTGGCCACGCCTGTGAAACTTGTACCTCCTGACCTCTACGGACCTGGGCACCTGATTGCATGCGCGCACGGCTGCACACGCTAAGGAGATTGATAACCCTAGCTGGTCACAGCTGCATCCAACGCATGCTCTTCGGAGTTTTTAAGATAATGTCGCAGAATGGCAAAAATATTATCACCAAAATGGTGAATTCACACATCAAGAGATGTTCGTCCCAGCTTCAAGAGAAGTCAAAATGCATCATAAGCATCAACAAGAAGTTGGCTGTACCAAGCCTGCTCAAGAAGTGTGCAGTGATACACAGCTGACCCGGTGTGGTCAGACACGCTTTGCAGGCACAAGAATAGTCATCATCAACATCAATCATTCTCAAGGTTCGCTCTACCCCACGCCTTATACGCTTGCACGCCTGAGGCCATCACAATGCCGGTACACATGCACTCTACGGCCGCCGACTGCGGCAATGTACCATCCTGCACGCACATTCCTTGAGAATTGCAACACTAAATCACCATTCCCGGCAACGACAATAGGATTGGTCAAGAGTATTCCATGTCCGTTTCCACCGCCGCCGTTGTTCAAGTCTGGCAAAGTCTTCCGGCACATCACCTGGCAAGGCCAATGGTTGGGCATGCACTCCTGTGAAATCACCATCAAGCAGCTCTGGCTCGAATGCACGTGGGCCATCATTTGACCCTCGATCTGGCTCATTGGTTGGCTCATCATCGCTCCAACCTACACCGGCTCCGTTTTCAGCATATGGCCCAACATCTTCATCAGACTCACAATCATCATCAGGCTCACTATCATCATTGGGCCACCA